TGTTTGAGCTTTGTCAGGGTCTTAGTTAGTCCATGCCAATTGTCCAGTCTCCAGTATCAACTTCAGACTCATATCAGGTAACCTAATTGTCCTGCCATGTGTTCCTCCCTAAATCTTCCAGAACCCCAAAGCTTTCTTAGTTTCCTACTGCTACCATGAGTTCTTCCCAAACCTGTGTCCTAGAAAGCCCAATGAGAGACATGATTCTGATCCACATACCTCATGAATCTTACCTATCATCAGCTTTTAATTTTTTGGCCTTAGTTCACCCACACTACTCTGTGGCTGCTTAACAATCCCTTTTCTTCACTTATTCTGCTGCTAGCACAACTTAACTTTCTCCAGGCAAACATGCCGGTCTCTTAATCCAAGTTCAGATGCAAGATAAAAAGAGAAAACAAGATAGAGTGGCACCCACAAGAGCCTTCCACATTCAGATACTGCTGTATTAAGGTGTGCCTAACCACACCCTAGAAATGAATTCCAGCACCAGATCCTAAAAACCAGAGGAATGGTGAAAATACAAAAGCTTTGGACCCTCTCCACTTGGAGTGCTGTCCACAAAAATGAGGTCTGGAAGTCCCCAGATCCTGTGCCAGCAGATAGCATATCTGGCCCCCTCACGTGGAATGTTGCTATATAGATCTCAGCTAGTTGTGCAGTTTGAAGAACTCCATTCTCTCTACATGGGATGTGGCCCTATAGTGGGCCTTAGTGGCGACCCACGAGTTTTTATGTTATTTTCATTATTAACCAGTTGAAGATATTTTCTAATTTTCATTGTGAATTCTTTGACCTGTAACATTTAGAGGCACATTGCTTAATTTAGAAAGAGTTAGAGATTTTTCTAGTCACCTTTTTGTTACTGATTTCCAGCATAATTTTTACTGTCATCAAAGAACATAATCTGAATAATTTTAATCCTTTAAAAATCTGAGAGTTGCTTTTTTGAATTGGTCAATTTTGTAAATGTTTCATGTGTACTTAACAAGAATTTTATTCTGAAGGTATTGGGCGTTAGTGTTCTGTATTTGTTCCTTATGTAGATGTGTTAATTGTATTGTTCAAATATTGCATCTTACTGGTTGTTTTCTGGTTATTTCACCTAACATCATGGTGGATTTGTCTGTTTTGCCATTCAGTGCTATCACACTTTTATATTCTGAAGTCTTTGTTATTGAATGCTTGCAAATTTAGAATTGTCATATCTTTTCAGCAAATTGAATTTTTTATCACTATGAAATCTCCCTTTTTGTCTGTAATAATCTGTTTCACATTAAATTCTACTATGTCTGATAAAGTTTGGCCCTCACAAATTTCAGCCCTACAAACACAGCAGCCTTTTCTAGTGCAAAGTGACTTGCTCTCCGCATATACCTATAGGAATTGCAGTTTGAGGTCCCAGACAAACCTGACCTGCAAATGAATCCCATTATCTAATTAAATGACTCTCAATGCTAGTTACACATTAGAATCACCTGGGAAAGGGGGAACCTTTTAAAAACAACTGATGTCAGAGCCCTGCCCCAAGAAACTCTTATTTATTACTAGTCTGGAACAAACCTGGGTATTGCTGTTTAGTAAAAGCACCCAGATGATTTTGCTGACTTTATAACCACTGGTTCAGTATGATATCCTGCCACCTCCACCAAGTATGTTGCTCAGTAAGTCTAGATTTGTAATTTCTGGGTGGAGTGTGCACTCTGTGGAGTATGCAGTCAAAAGCCCTGCCAGATGAAAAATGAAAAGTGGAAGAAACCCTATACCCTAGATGCCTGGTTCTCCCCTGCCCCACTGTGTGTCTCCTCCATGTAGGATGTGACTTTTTTCACACTGTGGAAATCTACCCCAGCACATCCACAGCCTTTTCTTTCCTCCCTAACCTATCAAGCTACAGCCACAAAGAATACTGTCTGATAAGTATCGCAATTGTGGCCATCACATCTGGATTCTCATTCCCTTTAAGTCAATAATGAAAGAGAAAAAGAAGGAAAGACGAAAGAAACCAGCTCCCCAGCCCCTGTTAAATTCAGAAACTCTGCTTATTACTCTGGACTGCTAAGATCCCTAAACTTCTGCCTTTTTTTTTTTTTTTTTTTGAGACAGCGTCTAGCTCTGTGGCCCAGGCTGGAGTGCAGTGGCGAGATCTCGGCTCACTGCAAGCTCCGCCTCCCGGGTTCACGCCATTCCCCTGTCTCAGCCTCCCGAGTAGCTGGGACTACAGGCACCTGCCACCTCACCTGGCTAGTTTTTTGTATATTTTAGTAGAGACGGGGTTTCACCGTGTTAGCCAGGATCATCTCGATCCCCTGACCTCGTGATCCTCCCGTCTCGGCCTCCCAAAGTGCTGGGATTACGGGCTTGAGCCACCGCTCCCGGCCAACTTCTGCTTTTATGCTACCTATACTACTTCGTATTGTCTATTACTATCTCCCCCACTGAACTCTAAGCACTCCAAAAACTGGAACAGTGCCTAGTACCTACTTTGTAGGTGCTCAGTGAAATGCTTGATAAATGAATGACCAAGTAACTGAACAAAGAAATGTTTCCATAGCAGTAGAAAAGATGCAGTCATGGTTTCACTGCCAGGGGCCAGTATTTAACATGGATAATTGAAAACAGCAGAGGATCAGAGGAGCAGAACTCATAATCTTATGTGAAAACTCAACAGTTGCTCTTTTTCTTAAACACAGCCTGCTTCTTTTCAAGGCATCTAAACATTTGCTGTCTCCTTGCACTCCATTTCTACTCTTCTTAGACCTCCCACACAGCAGCAACCTGATTGTTGCAAAGTGCTCTGTTCTGCCTGCTTTGTCTTTACCATTTTCCAGCTCAGTAGCAGCCTAGTTGTTAGGGACTTCGTTACGATAACAGAACTCTTTCTAGCTCTACAGCATAGTTTAAGGGAGATTAGTTGAATGTACAGTCCTTCCTTACTCATTTTCTGATTTCCACAGGGTTTTGAAAGAACTGAAAGTTAAGACTGCTTATCCACAAGGCTTTTTCAGTAATGTTATGTTTATGTTAGAATTCTGGCCTAAATGGTAATTGAATTGTGCGTGTAGGAGAATGCAGCCAAGATGTTTTGGTAATCATATGGTACCAGGGACTGTTCTGCCTGCACATGACTCGGGCAGATGAATCAGCTGCTTGCTTTCTTAAGGACTGGGGTTCAAAGAGAAGTAAGAACAGGATGAAGACCAGCTCACACTGGCTGACTTGACACCTTTTGAAATACAGGAGCACTGTTTCTCTTCAACATTAGTTGCTATCAAAGATTCCCATCTGGTAGCTCTAAGAGAGGATAGGATGTGAAATATAAACAGCTGTTTGAATCTCTGTGGAGCCACTGCAGAGAATCATAGAGAAGATAAGTAGGGTCAGCAGTACTAAGACCCATTGATGTGAGTTGTTTTGGAGATTGTGAAGATCCCAGTCCAGCATTATTTATTCCACCTACTGACCGAGAACTTTATCCTTTTGGCTTAAGGCAGTATTATTCAAAAAATTGTTCATGGGCCACCTGCTTTAGAATCATCTACGGGTGCTTATTTAAAACTATCTATCCCTGAACCCCAGATCAATAGAGCAGAATCTCTGGGAGTGAGGCCTTGAACTTGTCCTGGCCAAACCACTCAGCCCATTCTTTTGAACCCTAAAGTTTAGATTGCTGCCTTGAGATCTTACTAAGTATTAAACCTCAAATAGCGCCAAGAAGCAACAGCACTGTGAGCAGCTTAGTCGTTTTTGTTGAAAGATCTAAGATCAGGTTTTAGTAGAGAGAGTAATTGAAGAGAACTTGAGGACACAAATACTCAATGAGGAGGAACAGGACACTACCAAAGAGAAGGAACAGAGATAAAATAGCCAAAGAGCCAAAGAAAAACTTCTTTACTTCATGATTTTGCCCTGGGTTTTATGATCATTTGGCATAGTTTACTTCAATCCAGCAAACATATATTGAGCCCCTACCATGTGCCAGGTACCAGGAAGAAAACAAAATAGAAGGAAGCTCTTAAGTGGATAATTTAAATAAATGAGGTAAGGCCAAAGATTGAGATTTATACAAGAAACTTCAGGAGCTGAGAAGCAGGGACCCTAATGGCAACTTAGCTCCTAGAGAAGGAAAGTACCTGAGCAGGAAAATGAATAGAAGTCAGGCAGGTTTGAGGTTATGTGTGGGGGGGTTACTATTGAGGAGGAGCTAAAGAGGGGACAGGAATTGATGGGAAATGGAGCAAGTGCCCAACATTGGACAATCTGCCCAAGAAAAGGTCTGAACATAAAGCAGTATGCTATATTGGGATTGACACACAGTTCAGGGCTGCTTTATCATGAAGTGCAAAGAATGAAAAAACGCAATCGATGATCCTGAACAGGTAGATTTGAGCTAAGTCAGATATGTATATGTCTTGATAACTTTTACAAAGCCCTCTTGTGCTAGAATCTAGAAGGCTTCCTGGATCTGTCCTTCAAATTCATTCCAGGTTTGGGACCTCAAAATATTAGTTGTGATTGCTCCAAAAACATGTTACAACTGGTTTATGGGCCCTCTGTGGGACATTGAAGTGGACTATAATATCAAAATTTTTTCAATGTAAATTTGAGCTTGTTTTGACTATTACTGGAAGAATACCTAAAATTAATAACATTAATGACCTCTGGAGAGGGAGGACTGGGAACAGAAGTGGAATGAGTTTACTTCTCATTGTGTACCCTTTTCTACTGAATTTGAATTGTTTACCATGTATATTTATCACATATTCAAAAAAAAATCATAAAAGAGAACAAAAGAGACATTTATTCCATAAGATAAAGATATTGTTAGCATATAAAAGAGTAATTTAATTTATAATAACCAAGTTGACAACTTATTATACAGTGGTGACAGCAATCATAACATTAAAATTATTTTGTCTTTCAAATTCTGAAAAAAACATGAAGTTGGAGATATCTTCTGTATATCCTCTAAACATTTTGCCTCTTTTTTTTTTTTCCAGTTTGCAGCTCACCTTGTGAAGATGAAATATCCAAGAATCTGTATTCTAGATGGTGGCATTAATAAAATCAAGCCAACAGGCCTCCTCACTGTCCCATCTCCTCAAATATGAAGAACCAAGAGTGTGACTGCCAAAAGTCAGCGTGGCATCAGCACCAACAGCACAGTTCTTCATATCCATGCCACTCTCAGACAAAACTAGATGTCTAGATTGTTGCATTTCCATAAAGTTTGTCATGAGACGTTTTTAAAAATCTCATAACCCACATGTTCAGCTATCCACACAAGAAATTTGACTGTACATGTATTGCTGAAAGAATTTTTCTCAACAGTGAAATCTGATCATATATTTTTACTACACTGCCACATAAAGCCCAAGAAATTCAGCTGATGAGACAGATTTAGCATTATCAAGAAATCCCAGTTGCCCTGAAAAAGCTGTCCTCCATTGTACTGAACAGACAGTCCTGTTGATTGTATTATTTAGAAACATACACTGAATGTGGGCTAAAATCATCATCTTTCCATGATAATGAAAATTGAGAAACTATTCACAATGCCTTCCTTATAAATAAATGCTACATTTAGTAACTCATTTCACCCAAACAAGGGTGTGTGTGTGTAGGGGAAGTGGAGTTTATCCCATTGCAGAAAGTGGTAATATTTACTCCCAGAAAAATGACATTTAGAAACCATTCATATTTGATAGAATATTTGGTCAGTTCCTGTAGCAAAGAAGAATGGCTTCAACAAATTTTCTAGTTTCTTTATCACATGAAATTCTGTACAGTCAGTCTAGGGCTAGTATACTGGTTTCCTGATCATTAAGAACTCATTATCTTCTCTCATTGCTTTACCAACCTCAATACGTGTCATCATCTCATGGATGAAAATAGCTCCTCAGCTTCTACCATCACATCTATTATCTAGAAGGAAGAGAATGAGGGAAGGAGGGAGGGGATGAAGCGAAAAAAAGGAATGAAAGAAGGAGGGAGGAAAGACAGAAAAAAAGAAAGGAAAAAAAGCAAAGCATGCTCCTTCCCATTAAGGTCATAAACCAGAAGTTGCACACACTACCTCTGCTTACATATCATTGGCCAGAACTTAGGTACATGGCCACACCTAGCTTAAAGGGAAACTGGAAGTATAGTCTTTGGGTAGTTGATCATTTCCCCAGCTAAAAAAATTCTTATTACTGTGTGGGAAGAGTACATATTGAGGTACAGCTAGCAACCTCTGCCTCTGCCACATTGTTTTTAAAATGAGTATTATATTTCATTAAATCTAAGACATCTCACAATTTTAGGTACCACAAAGAAAAAAATGAAGCCAAATGAATTGTGACACATTGTCAATTAAAAGACACATTCCCTGGGAGGCCGAGGTCAGGAGTTTGGCCAACATGGGGAAACTCTGTCTCTACTAAAAATATAAAAATCAGCCGGGCATAGTGGCATGTGTCTGTGATCCCAGCTACTCAAGAGAGGCAGGAGAATCACTTGAACCCAAGAGGTGGAGATTGCAGTGAGCCGAGATAGGGCCACTGTACTCCAGCCCGGGCAACAGGGTGAGACTCCGTCTCAAAAAAAAAAAAAAAAAGATACGTTCCCATTTCAGAAACCTGAAAAAATATGCATCTTATAATTATTGAAATATAGCATATCCTTTAACTATCTTCAATTTTGTTTTAACTAAAAAGTGTTAATTCATCTATAACAATATTCCACTCCAATGTTAAGACTGCCTAGGCAGAACATTTCAATAAGAGCCTCAATTCAGCTTTCTGGGCCATGGTTTTGTTGTTGCTGCTATTGTTTATTTTAGTTTCTCTTCTTTGCATCTACTTTTTAAATTGAGATATACTTTACTTACCATAAAATTCATCCTTTTAAAATGTACAATTCAGTAGTTTTTAGTGTATTCACAAAGTTGTGCAATCACTATTATCCAGAATACTTTCATTGTATGCAATTGTCTACCTGATCAGGTATTCCACATTAACCCCTCCCAAGGTCTTTAATAAATGTTTGTGTATGGAGTGAGGGGTCCAGGTTCATTCTTGCATGTAAGTATCCAGTTGTCCCAGGAGCCATGCTGTTTTGTTTGTTTTATTCAATTTATTTGGTCATTCACCAAATACGTTTTGAATACCTACTATGTCTAAGACACTAATCCATAGTTATATCATTTGTGATCCTTACCTAGTTTACAAAGAAAAAAATAGGAGAAATAATGAGAACAAATATTTACCAAGATTTCCCTAACATTGTTTTTGGGCCATCATCTATCCTCTTCAGAGAAATATTAAATCCTCCTGTCCTGGCAATTACTGTTCTTTTCCTTCAATCTTTAATGACTTATCTGAGTTCATAATCAGAATGCAGCATTGATGATCATTCTGACTCTTAACATTGCCTTACTGAGAAAGCAGAGAAGAGAGGGATGGAGGGGCAGTGATTTGAGTTGAATAAGGTGGTAGGTAGTAGGAGAGGATGAAGACCTTGTGAGGAGAGCTATGTAAAAAGATAATAGTAGCAACCGTCTGTCATGATTTTGCATTTGATCTTTCTTAAAACTTGACACATTTAGGCTTATTCCAAGAAATCAAAGTTTTTTAAACATGAAAATTATAATATTTAATATTCTCAACAGGAAAGTAAGAAAGAGCACACTATCACTGCCATGTTTATACACAAGGCATGTTATTTCATGGTGGATGATACCAACAAAGTTGACCTCAACAACTATTTGTTAGATTAAATATATATAACCCAGGATTTATTTAAGCTCCCTTTTAATAAATTATTGATTTCTACACGATTAGTATCAGCACTGTTTCTGGGACTACCTGGAATGCCATAACTACCACCACCAGCCCACACAGATACACATATACACACACTCACACATACAAACTCACATACACAAGCACACATTAACGCTTGATAATCTATCAACAGCAATGTACCTCCTCCAGTCTTCTCTGGCTTCCCCATGCTGCATTAAGAGTCTCGAATCTACCAAAGCATTCCATTCATACTTCTAATAATAGATTTATTACATCATTTTGCAATTGTTGTTTATATTTAGGCCTCTATTAAAATATGAGCTCCTTAAGATCAGGAGCTATAATTTATACCTCTTGCTACCTTCAGCAACCCACCACATTGGATATGCTCAATTAATATAAAATTGAATCTCTTATCAATTTTAGAATCTATTTGAAGGGAGAAAAGTAAAAATAACCTGTGGTAGTTTTTTTCAACTGCCAAACTTACCTGGTACCTGACAGTATAGAAATAAATTGAAATCTCAATTCATGGAGTGAAAAAAGGATCTCTAAGGTCCCATCCAGCTCTAAAATCTGATAATTCTGGAAGTTGGAGCAGATAACTTCAAAATAGTTGCATCCTCTTCAAAATACAGAAATGTTAGATTCAAAAAGCATATTAAAAATAACTAATGCTTAACCAAGTTTGAGAGAAAGAAATTTCTTGATGTCAGAAATGAAAAGGACCTAAAAGGCACAGATTTTAGGCCCGTGGGATATCTAGTATCAATATAAGCCCTAGGAACTCGGGTTTTGGAATGCATATAGGAATAGAAGACATAGCTTTGGACCTTCTGGGTGTGAGTTCTAAGTAAGACCTCTTTATGAAGTGACAGTCTCAAGGAACTCTGCTCCATGAAATGATGAGACATAACTTCCCACCAAATCAGGGAAGCTACAGAGAAGATTGTCATTGGGCTGGTTATTCTCGATGAAGAAAGAAAAATCTATTATAGACAGATGGAGTTGTTCAGTGGAAAGTCTGCGGTAAGTTCCTGATTTAGAACAGGCTTTAGTGCACTTTAAAAGGAAAACAATGAACTATATAAAACTTTTAGAGGACACAGTGGTGCCAGATATTTGTTCGATTCCTGTGCTTTCCTTCTCCAAATAGTTACCAAAAGATACTCCTTTGGGAATTAGTATCGAAAGGATTGCATAGCATCTCAAAAGAATCTTACTCACTTTGGGAGGCCGAGGTGGGCAGATCATGATATCAGGAAATCGAGACCATCCTGGCTAACACTGTGAAAACCCATCTCTACTAAAAATACAAAAAATTAGCCAGGTGTGGTGGTGGGTGCCTGTAGTCCCAGCTACTCGGGAGGCTGAGGCATGAACCCGGGAGGCGGAGCTTGCAGTGAGCCGAGATCGCGCCACTGCACTCGAGCCTGGGTGACAGAGCGAGACTCCGTCTCAAAAAATAAATAAATAAATAAATAAAATAAAAATCTTACTCAGTAGTCTAATAAAATCCACTACAAGGAGAGAAGACTGTTGACTTGATTAGATAGACAGGATTAACAGATATTTCATTCTATCAGTTGTAACCAGTAATCCCATTGTTATACATGCTGGCCCTAAATATAGCTATTATTAACCAAATAATACATTTTTCTTGCTAAATGTTGATTAAATCAGAGTAGAAGCAAAATGTGATATTTATGATCGATTTTAGTTTGGATGTTCAATGTCAAGACCAAATACTCTTCACAGCTTCCAACTTCAATTTTGTGTGGAAAACAAATGGTGAAGAGTTTCAAACTTAAACCGACACTTGACATTTAACAGGATATGTAATTGCTCACACACAACCTTTAGGTTTTGTAATCCAGTTTTGTCTCATACAATATTAGAAACAGTACACATTGTAAATAGCTATTTTAAAAGTTAGCCATATTTTATAAAGTCACGTGTATTTATATCTTTTCTGAGTAATTGTTAATGCCTTATGATAGGTGCTTGTAACATGGAAACTAAACTTGGATCTTGGCATATTCAGTGTTCTATAGATAGACTGTGATATGCATAGCTTCTACTGTGACTTTCAGGCCTAATGTCTCCTCTTAGGTTGTTATTCTTTAACATCCTTTCTCATTCCTTTCAGAGGGCATTCCTTTTAGTTTGCATTGTCTACAGCATTTCGATAATACTGTTCTATTCTAATAATACTGATCTGTTCTAATAAACAGTTCTAAATACTGTTCTGTTCTAATTGGTACCAAAGTACTGTCTTGCCAACATTTCTAGATACTAATCCCTTGGGTGGTGGAGGTTAAAACATTGTTCTATCTTGGCCTACGACTAATCTTGGAGCTATAAAAAATACATTTAAAGCATTAGATCAGATTCTAAATATTGCTTCCTGCCGTGCTAAAAGATTCAATTTTTACTCTCATTATATATGGATGTGACTTAAGAAACAGTACATGGCCTACCATTTTTTAACTAATGTGATCACTAGCATTAAAACCTAAGATAATCCTTGCAAAAGAGACTTAATTTTCTCATTAACCTGGAAACCTATTCTTATTCTGTTATTAATTTTTTCTCAATTATATTAGCATATTTTCAGTCCTATAGAGTAGAATGATTTAGTATTCTCAGTCCTGCATTGCTCTGGAACTGGCTCCAGTAGCTTGAAAGAGCTGAATGTTCTCATCTCTTCTCAACTCCGTGGTCAGTGATCTCAGATTAGTAGCTTATAATCAACCACGTAAAGGGTATTTACACCATAGAAATAGGCAAATATTCCAAATCAGGCTCCTTTTAAAAA